AAGTTTATTACAGAGTATTGCATACTAACCCCTTTGGTTAATGAAATTTTAATTTCATAAACAAATGGGACAGATTACCAGAGAATATCTCTTGGCAGATAAATACTACCCCCACCTGATTATGGAATTGAAAAAATTCCATCCCCCCCAACTGTATAACTCCCGCTAACTGAATAATTCTTGCAGTTGCGGAAAGTTGCATGCCCTATTGTTTCGTTACAACTTGGCCTGTCACTAGGTAGCCTAACGAGTGTAGGCCCTGTGACTCGGCCGCTAGGTCTTTCAGGTAATAAGAGAGAAAAGTGTTGCTAGTTTTCCAGGACCCGGCTGCTAGCACCTGGGCTAAAGAAGCTCCGCTAGCAAATGCCAGTGTATTACCTATGCCTCTTAAGTCATGCATCTTGGCAGTGACTTTGCCTGCCTCTGTGCTCAAATACTTATCACTATAAGCGTGGTAAATTGTCTCTTTTACCCATCTCGCTAACGTGAATTTCGACGCCGCTGAGCTTTGTTTACCTTTTTGGTAACAAACGAACATCGACCTTTGACCCCTTCTGACCCCGGAAGTACGTTTCTTATAATAAGCTAGCGCACGTACCGGACAAAGAATTCTGTCTTGTTTTTCATTGGAAATATTGCTCAGTGCCGGGATAACGATCGGAGTCGCCGTCTCGTGCAGTTTCTGATTTTTTCCTCTGAATTTTACTGATGTCATTAAAATCGCTTTATCGGGATAAAACACCGTAAAATTGTCTTCAAATGACAGAGCGTGTATTTCGCTAACTCGCCTCCCTGAAGCGAGTGCTAGTAGAAAAACAGTCTTTTTCGTCCAGTCCTGTAGTGACGCCAATTCCTTCGGTTCGTATTGTCGTAGCACTTCAAGGACTACTGACAAGCTCCATGCAGGCGCTTTGTACCTCTCAATGGGGCCCGCCTGTGTAATAAAGCCCTTGAACAGATCGGAGATTGTCGGGTCATCCGAAATGTTTTTGCCTAGGCTCAGTTTGAGTACAGAGTTGATCGCCGATTTATAGTTTTCTACTGTCCCCGGTTTCAACTTTTTTTTCGTTGATCAAATAAGAAAAAAACTCCGCTACTTGGGGCAAAGAGGGATAGAGTGGATGTATATCCCCTGCAAGACACCAATTACGAAATTTTTCCCAGCGGTATTGATACAATCCATTTGAGGAATCCCTAAGCCCGGCCGTCGTTGTTTGCGACACTTGGCTTGAAAACCCTTGCGCAATTCTAAATTGCTGGATAGTTTCCACACGTGAAGTTGGTACAGCTCCGGGTTGGTTGGTGTATAACCGCCGGGTTGTGTCAACGTGATTTCTTGTGGCAGGCTTCTCGGATGGTCCGTTAGCAGAGACAGCAGTAACGGAAACCAAGTCTGAGACGGCCAGTTCGGTGCCACTAGAATCATGTGCGAGTTCTCCGATTGTTCCAGTTTTTGTAACGTTCGGTGGATCAATGGAAATGGTGGGAATGCGTAACTGAACATTCCGCCCCACTCCATCTGAAATGCGTCCCACGTCAGTGACTGTTTGTCCGGATAACGCGTCACAAAAACGGGACGTTTTTTGTTTTCCGGTGTTGCAAACAGATCTACCTGGGGTTCCCCCCACATGTCGAACACTAGGTTTACTGCCGTCTGTGACAGCTCCCATTCTGTGTCGTCGTAGGGTTTCCCCCGGGATAGCGAGTCCGCTACACCGTTTTGGACTCCCGGTATATGTTTGCACATCAGCTCGACTTTGTTTTGTGCACACCACTTTAGCACTGCTACAGCATGGTCGTTTAACGACTGTGATTTCGTTCCCCCTTCCTTGTTGAGGTAAGCTACTACAGTCTGATTGTCGGATCTTATTAACACGGCCCGGTTTTTTACCGCTTTTTTGAAGGATTGCAGGGAGAACTGCACCGCTAGCATTTCCAGTCGGTTTATGTGAAATTTCCTTTGTTTTTCGTTCCACTGACCGTGTGCAATCCCGTCCATGCAGTGCCCTCCCCAGCCCGTCATGGATGCGTTCGTCACCAACGTTACTGTCGGTTTCGCCTTGTCCATGGGAATCCCCGCCGTGAGGTTCTTGAGGTTGCCCCACCACGGAAGTGATTCCAGAAAGGCCGGTGTGAACAGTACCGGTTTTTCGTATTTTATCCCGTCCTTTGATAGTCGCATTTTTAACTGTGCGTCTAACACTAGGCGTTGGATCGGTCTGGACTGTAGCGCCGCTCTCGGTACTAAGCCCCTCATCGAAGTTAACATCCCCACTAGTCGCATTACCTGGCGTAGTGTGGCTTGTTTTTGTTTTAGAAATGATTGTATCATTTTTTGTACATTGTCGATTCTGTGCTGGGCTGGTCGGATCATGCCTTTCTCCGCATCCAGTTCCATGCCCAGAAAGACTATTTTCTGCGTCGGTATTAATTCTGATTTTTCCATATTTATCAGAAAACCTAGCTTTAACAGTAGACTGACAGTCCGCTCGGCTGATTGACAAATCAGGTTCCGATTTTGACTTTTTATCAGCCAGTCGTCTAAGTAGGGGTTGACGTCTGCTGCGTTCTTGTGCAGTAACGCCACCACTGTGCGTAGAACTTTTGTAAACAGAAGTGGGGCTGACGTCAGGCCGAAAGGTAGGACGGTGTACTGATACGTTACACCGTACACCACGAATCGTAACAAGCGCCTGCTTTCTGTGTGTATTGGTATGTGCAGGTAAGCGTCAATCAAGTCGAGGGACGTCATCCAGTCCCCTTTTTGAATTGACGCTCTCACTAGTGCCGGAGTTAACATTTTGAACGTTTCTTTCTTCACAAATTTGTTCAACTCCTTTAAATCCAGCACCAGCCTGTACCCACCGTTGGATTTCTTGACGGGAAATAACCTCGAGATGAAAGAATTTTTCGGGTTTTGTACCCGCTGAATTACCTTTTTTCCGAGTAGTATTTCCACGCTTTCTTTCAGTATTGTTGACTGAGTAGAGCCCGGTTTCCCCGAAATACATGTTCTTTTTTTGCATTTCGGTTCTTTTATCAACGGTATTCAATACCCGTGTGTTATTATCGATATCACATACGGATCGTTTATAGTTTCTTTCCACCGGGGAATACATTTCTGCAGACGCAGTGCCACCGGCGTCGAGGGACTCACCAACCCTCGGTCGCTTGTGGCGGTATACATTGACATCGCCGATTTCTCCATTTCCCCCTGGAGTGAATGCGGCGTTATATCCCCGTTTAACGTCCTTCCCCCCCCTTTTTTCAAACCTGGAGGGGAGTAGGGACTCTGCCTTACGGGTTTCTGTTTTTTCACCGGTCGATGCGTCATTCTCCCTAGGTCCACGCATTCGGCCGGTTGTTTGTTTATACGATCGCCCACCGACCTGAGGTGTGGCCGACCGTGTTTTTGTTGTGCACGATTGAGTTCCCGCCATCCTGGGCACTGAACAAAATCGCTTAATGCACGATGTTTTGCACGACTTGGTTCCCGCCGACCTGGGCACTGAACCGAATCGTTTAATGCAAGTGGTATATGTGTAAGGGGATCTGTGGTTTGATTTGTTTGACAAAAATACTCTGAGACTTGAGTAATATTTGACATGTTTAATCGCACCTTGTTTTGATACATTACCATATTTGCTGACGTATAGTCAGGAAGACTTTTTAGTGTTACCAGTCTGTTTCAAGAATTGTTTATTCTGTCGCTGCTGGTTTTCACTTTTTCCTTTTGCCTGATTCGGGTTTGCCTTTGCGTTTCCCTTGGGCTGACCCGTAGTAGCTTGGTTAACTGGCTTCGCCTCGGTCGCGATGCTCTGTTTGTTATTAGCGGCTTGCTTGGCTTTAAAGGCGCCTTCGATCATCACACGGTTAACTTTTGCCGCTGCTTTCTCATTCAACTTAGAATTCACAGCGCTGAGTTTTCCGTCGAATAATTTGGTCCCTCTGAAATAGATCGTCGCCAATTCGTTCTTGATTTCAGCGTTGGCGGCTGTCTTTAGCATAGCGGACCAAACTGCTGCACGGCGAGAGTGTTGAATAGTCGCTCGTAACTGGAGATGACTCTGTATTTTGTCAGCGTCGACGACGTTAGTAGCGACCAACAGCGGCTCTAATGTGCTAAACAGTTCATCCTTGGTGATGTTGCCTGTTTTGAATTTCGCTAACTGAATTTGTGTAGTAGTAGTGAAAAATTCTCTATGGCTTAATGCAAGAGAAGTGTCCCAAACGTTGTTTTCCAATCTACATAGCGTTGACTGGGACAGGCAATACGGGATGTAAACTTGTGGTTTGCCGAGTGGATGTTTCGTTATACTTCCTTCGGCGACCATTTCCCGGACGCATGGCTCCAGTTCTGGTGGTTGTACGCCGAGAGGTCATTCGTGCAGACTGGCGTCGGTGCCGACCAGTGTTTTCCACTCATCAGCGGGCGGTATAACTTTTTGGTAGCGTCTGCTCCAATCGTCCTGGTTAGTCCCCAAGAAGTCGTCCTTGGTGGCTGTAGCGGTTTTCTCGGTAACTTCACGATCCCATTTGCCTCCTCCGATCACGCGTTGTGTTATAGCAGCGCCCTGTGTCAGTCGGGGAGACCATGGTAGCATTGCTGAAGTCGCAAAAGTGTCCTTTTTCGGCAGTGTAGACAAACCGATCGAGAAACGTGGGGCGTAGAGGTAAGATTTTCTTGACCATAACCGCACCTTTCGTGATAGCATCGGAGCGGATTTTGAATTCGGGGTCCTCCTTGTCGGTACCACTTGCTGTTGTGGTTTTCGACGAGCCGGCCTCCCCCGCGTTGCTTGTAGCATCTTCAGTAGAAAAAATCACGCCTGCCTCAGCCAGTGCGTCTTCAACATTTTCTCGCACCACTGTTGTGTAGGATTTTTTCTTTTCCGCCTGGAGAGCGCTGACACTCCATGCTTTTGGTGGTACCTCTTCGTCTACTGGGTTTTCCAAAACTTTAATTTTTCTGGTCAGTAGATCCACCTTGTTCTGTAAATGAGCTATAACACTTTGCTCATTGTCAGTCTCCTTTGGACGTTTTTGGTTGGGTTCGTCTGCCAATAGTTCGTCCCCAGTGTTGGTAGGTACCGATGAAACCGAAGACTCCTCCAAATGACGTTTTTTGGATTTCTTCTTTCCTGATTTTCCCGTTGACTTGCGTAGGCGGGAATCCCAGTTCCAAGTTTCTATCGGCCAGGCGAAGCAAACACCGCAGTTGATGTGCCCATTACATTTTCTG